CGATTCGCTAGCGTCCGCGGTCGCGTTGCGGTACCAGCCAATTGAGTGATTCACTGGCCGCGACGCGACCGCAGACGCTAGCGAATCGCGCGATTCGCAAAGTCTGACATCCCTAAGGGGCGGTTAATTGGTACCAGACTTGTCTGGGAGGATAAAAACACTGACTTGTACATCGGCTGGCCCCCGCAAGTCATTGTATAGGCCACATCGCATTCAAACGCCACTACGAATGTACAAATGGAAGTATCCCAAAAAGGGATTGATCAACGGCAATAATTTATCCTTTATCCTTTTATTCGCAAGAGAATGAAAAATTGGAAAACAATTCGAAAAACTGGGAAAATTTTAACACATTCATATATTCCCGACCTGTGACTGCCACAAATGTTGGCAGCGGGGACCCTGCATTTTTTTGACCTATTTGTTTGATTTCTCAAAGGAAGCGATTACGATAAAGAGGGAGCGCATCGGGGAAGCATATGCACCACACGAAGCAGTTACTTGGCTGCCAAGGAAGCGAGGTGTAGCGCTTTTGAAAGGTGCGCTGGTTGCTGAGCAGGACTTCGAAAAGCGCTCCGCCCCAAAAGCGATCCGCCCACTAGTTTAGTTGGTGATTTGGACGAGCTGCGTTGCCAGCAGCGGCACAACTGGAGCAACTCGATTGGAGCAGGTTTGGCATGGTGCTACCAAACGGGTTACGGTAAACTTGCCCATACGTCCACCGTCTCAGCCGCTGCCAATTAGTGAGCGACGGCTACACTGGGGGTGAGGCCCGGTTTTACGTTTCCTGGACGAATTTCTCTGCTTTTTTCGCCACTATCGCACCACTGACCACCCCCACAACCCTTCCAAATCCTCCAGGACTTATCGCAATCGCTGCCTTTAACTGCTGCTTAACGCCGCAATTCGCGTTGCGAAAGTTTTGTCCATAACTCAATTTTCTGAATGATGTTGGCGACTTACAACTTGGGAAACTCACACTGTTATTCCTTCATAGAGCGCTTTCAGCTCTTCACTCGTCGTTCTCATTGTAACAGACGATTCTCACGAATTCTCTGAAAATACAAGCCACGTATCCATCGAGTTCTAATTATGGCGTGAGCCTTTCTAACGACAATAGAGCCCTTGACGCCTTAAAATTAGCGTTTTCGAAATGGTCTCCCTTGGCTCCTTTTCGCTTTCAGATCATTCCGCAGGATGCGCGTTACGCAACGAGGTGGACCCTAGCGGCCTAACGGGGTTAAACCCGCGCCACTCGCGCCGCTGCACGCTCAGCGATGGACTCTAGCCGTTTAGCCGAGAGAGCGTTAGGGTTGAAGAGGACAGCGCCGACGAGAGCTGCATCAGTGCGGAACGAGTAAGCGGTCCGATTTTCAGTTCATGACGCTACCATGGTTTTTCCTTTCATAAACGCTGCATCAACTGAGTACCAAAATATCTTCGATTTTGATGGGCAACTTTTTATTGTAAACACCACCTTAAAGGAATCTTCCACGGAAAAAGCTCCGCCTCCATTACCACAGAAAAACGATACCTTAGGCCCCTAGCCTCATGAGCATAGCAAAAAGAACGGAACATAAGCGTTAGTTTCGATAATACTAATCCTACACACAAGACAAAATGATCACTCTTTCCGTGGAAGATTCCTTTAAGGTATCGTTTTCTGTGGTAATGAGGGCGAGCTTTTTCCGTGACCGTGGTAATGAGGGCGGAGCTTTTTCCGTGGAAGATTCCTCTCGGACTCGGAATTCTCAGCCTCACGCAAGTGGACATGCATAGAGCTTCTTACAAAACCTTAGATTTCAGTGATCTCTTGCACCCTTAATCAAACCAACCTGCTCAACAAAATTCCAGATTCGGCCCTGTGAAATTGAGTAATTAAAGAAAGAAGTGCATACCCTTTCAAGCGGACTAAGCTCGAAGATCTCGCGAGTTGCCTGACCGGCGCGTAAATTGCTTGCAGTTTCAGCAGCTGCGTTGGCTAACTCATTGGACGGCTCAACCTGCAAAATGAACGAAAATCACCTCTTCCTACACATATTATGTGAACAGAAAGGTTACGCAAACAGAAGCAAAAAAAATACAAAAACCATTACCGTCTCCGGTTCTTCTTCGTAGCCAGCCACCACTTCGTTTGTAGGTGGGATTTCAGAAGTTGATGCAGTGGCACAGGTCTCTGCAAGATTTAGTGATATAGAAGACCTCAATTGGTGAAAATATACACTATTAGTAGGAAAAGTTCCTGAAGTATTTGTATGGGTCATTGTGTGATCATAACAATCCCCATATGTTGCCCATCTTGGGAGGAACTCTCTTTCCGTGGAAAGGTATTTAAAGCGAGGGATAACGATCAAATGCAAGTGCAGCATGGAATTACTCCCACCAGTCAAAACAGTAATCTTGAGCCGAAGGAAATAAGATGCGCTTTCTTCGCAGCCAAAGATGCACTAGTTGAAGCGTACTCATTTGCCAATCCTTTCTGTGCTCCGCCTCAGCATAAACCCCGCCCACCGTGTGCTGCTACCAGCAGGACCGCGAATCATTTTGAAGAAGTATTCCACTTCAAGCGGTCCTACCATAAGACCTTGCTGTGGAATGCGTTTTCAAGCAAAGGTGGAATGCGTTTTCAAGCAAAGCATGGGCTGGTAGGATACGCTAGTGCGAAATGTGCCTTTATAGACAAGCTTCGGGATGAAATGAGGAG